TTTTTACCTTTGCCTATTTTTTTTTTTTTTTTTTTTTTTTTTAACAAACGTGCCACCAATAAAATTTATATATCGCTCGTAAAATTGTTATTTTATCGTGCGTCCATAAATGCGGCTCATGTTTCATTCAGCGGTTGGGATTGTCCTTGGCGAGATACGTTAAAATATGTATTCAGAACGGTACAGTCAGGATGGCCCTTAGTTCAGCTTTTGGCGACAGTATTAAATTCCATGAGGATCGGCCGTACCGACTCCGTCGTGGAGACTCCCGAGGCCTCGTAAAAAGACACTCGAAAGATCCTCGCGTATATGTGTATACGTCAGGCTTGTCATCCACTAACTGTATGTATGTACGATTGATCGGTCTTTGTTATTGATCTGTGACTGTCTGAAAGGAGCCACCGAGACTTTATGAGATTTCGCAACGAGCCACTACGAGTCACTAGGCGTTAAGTGCGCGCTTTCACTCTCGGGATCATCTCGTCGTTCAGTGTCGCGCGACGCTGCCATTCACGTCGCTTCGAGGAAAATCGTCAGCGGGATATTTGTGCACGTTCAGAGTTGGCAGTTTTACTGTCAGTTCCAAATAACATTGACACATCTATACACGGCACATTAAGATTGCATATATTCTAAGGGCTATCCGATGAAAATATTTACACTGTACAAACAGAATATTGTGTGCCATTAGAAAAAATTAATAAATCTTATATAGGACCATTTCTAATTATTCCTAAAATAATATTCAATAAATAATAAAGTTTTATTAAATGCTTCCATTACTTTTTACAAGACGGCATTACACGAGGTGTAACCCAGCAATGATTATGAGACTGTGGGAAGTAATATTTGTGAACGATTTTTGTTCTTGATAAAAAAAAAGAAAGTAAAGGTAGCAGAAATAAAGTTTATAAAGTCGAGGACAATAAATATAAAGTCGAAGCAGCGTAAGTTCCTGACGTTTCTGAATCAATGAAACGTATCGACGAGAAGGGTGGTTGGTGTTCGTAGGTGTAGCTTTGGGATTCGATAAGTCGTTCAGGAAAAGCAATTTAAGGAGCACGTCTTTCCGGTGTATAGCCAGTCGTGTTTTTCTCTGGATGTGAAAAGATGGCGAATTAATTTTCACCAGGTACGAGACAACTCGACTCTATTCTGCCGTTGCGAAAGTTTCACCAATGGGAACCCACGACTCGTTGCTACTTCCTTGTCCAATTTCAGGACGTTCGTATACCTAGCCTCACCCTACACACGACATCTGGCCGAAAGTCGTTGATCATAACACGGGGATATGAGAACGCGTAATAATTCGGCAAGGGAATTACCGGTTTCTCATACTTAATGAAATTTATGTCGACTTCTAATGAATCCATCGAATTACCCAATAAACACAACAAGCCTCCCACGATCTCTGATAATTAAATCTGTATAATGAAATTTGACAAGATTAAATGCGGCAATATATATTTCTTTAATATTACAAATTAATATTATATATTATACCCATCTAAATGAGAATGACCGATACCGGTAATTTTTGAAATTCCAACAAAAAAAATTTAGTAAGTAATACTTGACAAATTCCCAGGACTAAAAGGTTCGTATTGGTATTCCCTACTACTGTGTTCCATATTACTGTAATTTGATTCCATCCCATTGTATCAATTTACCTTACAAAATTTCCAGACTGGTTCAACCTATATAAATACATCCGATACCAGTTTCCGGTTGGGGTAAAAATTACGTGGATGAAATTTCTCAAAAATCCACCGGAGACCTTCAAATTTGAGATTCGATTATATATATATATATATATACACATATATATTTATATAGTTTTTTCATGTATAAAACGAATTCACAGTTCGATCCGTACGAAGGAGTGACAATAAGTAGGTCACGCTATAATATCCAATATTTTGGGTATCCGAAAGCCCAAGTTAATCGAAAGGCGAATCCTCTTTCGATGACCTTTCCTTTTTTTTCCTCCGCGCACAATCAGCCTCAATGGGGTGACTACCCCTTGTTCGACCTCTATAACGATACACTGGACGGAAATGACACAATAAATGAAGAACGATCGAAAAAAAGAAATCTGAGCAAACAGTAAACAACGATAATCAATAGTTACAGATTCAATAACATGGCAAATATTTTTCTGTAAAGATATCCTACGGAAAGCATTTCTATTGTAACATAAATGAAATCTCAAGCCAGCTTTATTAAAAACGGAGCACATTCACGTTGAAAAGAAAAATTGTAACAATCAAATTGTCAAAAGAAATACACATTTCATTACTATTAATAATTGATACTAAATTGACTCGATTATTCAGTCGCTACTAGAGTCCGGCTCACACCCACGAAATTCAATGTGACAAACATACGTTTCATAGTAGATCAAATATCCATGTTACCAGAATCTACTTATTTTCATATCGTGTAACATGCACTCCGCACGCTGTCATCCAATGTTGACGTAGTATAGGTAAGACGATGCTTGAAATATATTGACAAACTTGAAAGCTCAATACGTAATCCAAATAGTAATACATAGTTAAGCAGCTGAGTATCCGTTATGAGAAGAGAAGAAAAAGCCAGAAAATATAATAAATAATAATTCCACTACACAGGCTGTTACCATTCGTACGTTATTTGACAAACGGTACGCGCCAGCTTTCTGGCTACTACGAAGAGACGGGAATGTACGTATTAATTTTAAAAAATGCTACGTGCCTCGAAAGAGAATCGCGTGGTGGTTCGCATAGCAATAAGTCAGGAACGCAGAGCAATGTTTTACCGTTGTCAGTAAATAAACCTGAAATTACGAAACATTTTGATAACGTTAAATATCGAGAAAACCGAAAATGGAATATGAGACAGAATAACATAAAAAATCGTCCAAGTACCATGAAATGCTTTAAAATTAAAATTACATCAGCCCCCAAGAGCATCAAAGCCCCCAGTCTAGCTCACTGATTAATATAATTTCTTAATATGGAAATTCCATTCTCTTACTTTACCTATAAGATACCCATCTGCCGTACGCTATACGTCATCCCTATCACCTACGATATAATATCGAAATTCACCCTTGCAATGGAATAAACAAAGAATCCTGTTAATTCAAGCACGGAGACTCTTATCGTTTGAGACATATCCTTAATATCGAATAGTTATCGAAAAATTCCGTTATCGCGATTTCCCACGCGATAACCCTATTGGAAAAAAAAAAAGTAAAAATATTAATAAATAAAAAATTTATTAACGATCTCATCACGCATACAAAATTCCATCACGAAGAGGGAATGAATTTGCCTAGAAACTTTTTCCTCGAAAAAAACAAAACGCCCCTAAAGTAGGACCATAACCTAAAAAAATTATTAAAACCGTATTAAAATGATTGAAGGCACCAGAAAAATAAATTTTTCACATCGCATAACCGAATGTCCAATGGTCACATTGCATGGAAACATTTCGCAAGACCAGATGCTATCAATCCATAATGCTCAACTTCGGTCACGCAAACGAATTACAAGCTGGGACTTCATGGTAGTCAAGCATGCGTTTGTTAAGGGTCTCGGAGGGTTTTAAGTCGGTAGATACACGTATAATCACATGTAATCCCAGAAAGTCTCGTATCTTCTAGTGTCTTTCGTATTTTCCGTCTGACGTTGCGATAGTGGTACACTAATAACAAGGGGATGATAACACCGTTCTAGCCTTTACGAGGCATCCCTATCTCACTGAAGTGTGTAAGGGTCAAAGGGGTCAACCTCCTACTAGCCAGACGTCGACTCCTACCTTATTTACAAGGATATGAAAATGCTCTCCGCCGCGAGGGTCATACCTCTTCAAAAGACTTTTCCTAGCGATGCATTAGGGCTTTCATTATGCCCTTTCAAAAAGAACCTGCCTAGGATCTTCCCCGCGATCTTCATTTTGACTCCGTCGTTTCTGCTAACCGTGGTAATGCGGACGTTGCACTTCCGAACTACGTGTCAGAGTCAAGGAAGAAACTGTTCAGTAATTAAGCTGGATATCTGTACTTACGACTGGCCAATTACGAGGGTAACGTAGTGAATGTTTCGACTTTGAATTTTCATGCGGTCGCGTTCAATTTTAATTCTCCTAGATTCGTTCACTCGTCACATCAACGGAATTAAGCCGAGTCCCATATCTCTCCGAAGATGATACATTTCACTTGTAGGTATATGCATGCATTTCTCTTATATACTTTTTGGGCCTTCGTAACGGGGCGAATCCCTTTTTTGGTGAAATAAAACAAAATAATTGTCGATTACGCGATAACGATTAATCAAAATAAAAATTGATACGATTAAATGTTTCTGTAAAATGATTTTAAACAAATCTCGCTGATTTAATAATACAATATTTACATCGTCTAAACTGTTATAAAATTTAGATACTTTTGACTTGTTATTTGTCTCGATCGATAATTCTTCATGATTATGGTAATAATTTCTCGGAACTGCTTTCAATACCTTCGACAAATGCATATTTATTTAGAAAGGGGCGATATCACCGCTTTCGACTCTGGGCACATTGGAAAATATTTCCTGGCACGCGATCACGGATTGAACGCCAGTATAGTCAGTATGGAATTGTCTGAGAATTTAACTTATGCTGTTTTGAATTTAGCTTCTGATTTTATTTCAGCATTGCAGAACTAATGCATTTATAATTTCATTTTTATTTAGCACTGAGCCTTTAATCATGTATATAGTTACTAGAATTACGATTAACATTTTGCTAACAGAAACTGTATGATAGACTAATCCTCTCCTGCTATAGAAAATTTGACATAGATAAAGTTTATGTAGTTATACATTATTTAATTATTCTTTATCTAATGTTATGACTGCTACGTATTTACGAATCCATAGCTAATGATATCTACTTATTTATCAATATCAGAGACAAATGTATTCCGATTTATTATTTCGCGACGAAGCGACAAAATATTTATCTTTAATCTTAGTGAAAATTCGATAGTTATTTCTTGGCTGTCCTACGCAGTAATCTCAATCCCTAATACATTTTCTCATTTTATTCTATAACAAGTAAAAAGAGATAACAAGCATATTAAAAAGCATTCACAAAGAGGATAAAAAAAAGAAACGCTACTAGCGCGCGTCAAAGTAAAATACGTGCTTCCTCTTTGTCGTATTAACATAGTAAAAAGAAAGGTAACAATAAAGTAACAGAAAAATCCAAAGGACTCGCCTAAATTTACGGAACCCCTCGCTACACTCAAGCTTCCTGGTGGTAAATACTTAGACGGCATCAAGTTTTCTCTTAATTGACATTTCATAGTTTATAACATTCCTGCTGGTCACAATAAAAAAAAAAACTAATAAAGAGAAAAAGCATGTAAAAAGGTTACAAAAATTTAAGAACGAATATAGAATATAGGTAGTTGACTCACCTCTGTGCGGCGTTAACGGATGACGATGTAAGGGCGAAGCATCGACGAGAAGCAAGAAATACACGAAGAGCCCTAGGTAGATTAAGTGTATCGTGTGGGCCCCATAGCTTTGGCCTGTCACCACTTTACCCTTTGACATTGTGACGTTCCTGCTCTTAAGCGTGGGGCCCGTAAAGCAATAGGGCCCTCGCGCACGCACCACTAACGCTATCTGCCGTCCCGCAAGCCAAACACCACACTTCCGACACTAGCCAAGCGCATCACTACTGCTTCCTTGACACTTTACGTTTTTGGCTTTAATTTCGTGGCTTGTTACTTATCTCCTCTTTCACCTATCTCACTTGACGCTCACGCTAAAGGAATCCACGCGTGAACGTTGTCGCTTTCTTCTAGATGGCACTATTTATTTCCTCTTATATCTTCCTTCAGGTATGCCGAAATCATTCGAATTTCCTATTTCACTGCACCTACCGATCTTCGCGTCTGCGCCCTCTGTATACTGGTAATTCAAAAGTGTCATCTACGAACAATATTTTATACGTCAGGTACGAGAATAAGTTTGTTAAACGAAATTGATCGAAACACGGTTCTAATTGGAAATTTCTTTGATAAAGAAATATTGAAGCATCGCACAATTCTTATATGTTCAATTAATGATTTTTAATTTGATTATTCAGATAATTTGATTATATCATGTCTATTATACGGTAAGAAACTGTACTGCTAAGAAATACGTATACTGTATAAAGTTATGCTTCGTAATTCACGAGTGCAAAGTTTATAACAGTGTTAAGGTCTTTATTTAAATGAATCTCAAGATGTGACCTAGATCCATTTTATCTACTAGCGTCTCTAAAGTTTTCTTTGAACAATGATGCAGTCAATCGGAGTACAATACGAAGATAATCTTGGCGACAGAGACGGATCTGAATTCACGGAGTATTCCAAAAGGCAAAAGTTTCAGGTGGATAATGAGGTTCAAATTGAAAATGACAATGGCAATATTCCGAAAATTTTCCACGAAGCACGATATATTCTAGACTAATAATCTTGTACATCTCGTCCCGTATATATCTATGTACATGTGAATGATGATGACGCTTTGTAATACAATAGATATACCGATAGGAATACAGATCAAATTTCGCGTAACGGTACGTAACTTCTTATAAAATTAGGCGATCGTGCGTTACGGAGTAGAAATAGAAAAGTTGCACGTGGATACGTGGCTAAATGGAAGTCGGTAAAAAATTGAAAATCTCAAGAAAACAATATGCATTTTCTTATAAATTCACGCCTTTAGCTAATTTTGAGATCTGAGAGTAAACAATGAAAACTTTTATAAATGTACCATTATACAATAAATAACGTGAAAATGTGAGTTTTCCGATTTTTTTTATAGCACTAAACACCTTCATCTTTATAATACTAAATCCTGTTTTGGAATACGATTAGTGACGAGCATAACGGCAAATCTAAACTCGACACGGAAGTTTACATAGACTCTCAGGCCATCAATCATTGCACAGAAAATGTCATTGACATTTGCCCAAAGTATGAAGCATAAGTTAAAGACACTATTTCAAAATTAAGAGACACGAACAACTTAGTGCGATTAAATCACGAAATGCAAAAACTAACATTAAATATATTTTTATAGCATAAAATGCATACGACAATGTAAATTCTCTGTATCCAGAGGAGCAATCTTCACGAATATTCTTGAAAAAGGAAATATCACGTGCTACAGACCAAAGAATTCGCATCAAACCATTTTTTCCTTACTATTGTACCTATTGCACTCTATAAAAAAGGACCTTATTGACGTCTCGACAGTTAGTCAACGGTATTTTTTGAAATACACATGAGTCACGTAAAAACCATCAGGTATATCCAGAAAACTCTAGCACGATCATCGACGTCTCTAATAATTACGAAATGCTACCTAAGGACATCGAAATCACACGAAGAAGAGAACGACGAGTGTCAGAGCAGTTCCACAGGTTTACATTCGCTTCGACAAGCAAGGCATGATTCACTAGAGTCGCTGTAGATTTGGCATCGTTGCCGGCCAACTTACATTCTCTTCTGGCAGGTAAGACAGACCGCGGATAAGTACAACACAAGCAACACGTTCCTCCTGCATCAATGGAATCCCGTTTAGCACAATTCTGACATAATTGACCACGACCTGATAGTAAACAGTATCTCGTATCAGTATATATATCGTTTCAGAAAAACGTCACGTGGCACCGACACCAACGTGCTACCAAGTCACGGCACTTGGTAAACCGTGAGATCACGAACAAGGATCCGAACAAGAACGCGTTCCGCGTCGTACTGAAGCTGCCAGCAAGTCGTAAGCTGCCGAGCGAGGATCCGACGCGATCCGAGGACAACGACTCTCTCTCCCCCCACCAGACGTCCTATTCACCCCCACCTAACCCACAGAACTACCCCAACCCGTAACCGCCACCCCGAGCAGCCCCCACGGTCATACCCCACTGTATCCGATGATCGCCGCTACCCTGTTACGTATCCCTTATTCGCTTCCTCTTGTTTTACTTGTCTCTCTCTCTCTCTTTCCTTCTCGATTGACAATCCACACCTTTACTCTCTTTATCGCTCCCGCACGGCTGTATATTCTTCCCATTTCACTAGCGTAGTACTGTGTCAGTATACCCTTGTTTCAGAATCCCTTTCTTTCCTAACCCTTCTTCAATCACTATTATAAATATAGGAATTACTTTACCTCTCGATAGTTATGCTTGCTGTTGCCCGCGACATATTTTTTTTTTCTGTAACGAATCTAATAATTTTTTTCAAGTCCTTGTGGATTTTATCTGCCGAGCCTGCTAAAAATTGTGTATACGTTTCTACTGGTTACCATTTATGTCCTCCTACGTACCTCAGGAACGAAAGCGAACCCGCATGCATTTATCTTAGAACCAGACTGAATACGCTCTTGTAGTTTTATCCTGAGTCTATTTCGACAAATTGACTAATTCAAAAAAAATTAAGTGATCATGGCACACGGATATATTGTAGTACGGAACGGTATAAGCATGAAATTCTTATAGAGGATCTCATGGCTGTTAAAAACTATCCAATCTTACTCCAAACTCCATAAATTACATCATTGACTTTGGATATCATAGACAGATTTTAAATATATTTTTAATTATTATTGGAGAGGAGGGGGAGGGGGGTATCAATAATATGTGTACAAGTATATACTTAAAAAATTTCATATACGTATGAAGACAAATAATAATAATAAAGTACTTGTTTTGTGGTAAAATTCATAATGTAGTATATAAATAATTTTTAGCTAATTTTTAAGTACTTCAAAAAAAACGAAAGTTCACTCTCAATCGCACTGTATATTTTAATCTGTATTTTAATAATCGTATTGGATCCTTATCTGCATTTCCTTATAACTTCAAATAGTATAGTCTAAATCCCACGAACTCGCATCGCTATTATAAATCAAGCCGGCAACCGTAAACTGGCAAGCATTGTTACAACCACGAAGAAGAAGAGAATTTAAGGAAGGGTTAGCAACTTAGCAAGAGTGAGTATAAAAGCTCGAGGGGATGAGTAGAATACGAGGAGGTGGAGGCTTCAGTATTGCACATTAAACCTGGGGCAATTCAGTGTCGCGAAACGCTACTATTGTGAATGCAATTAGGCTAAAGACCAGAGGGTTTGTATTTCTATGTAAGCCTGAATATTCATTGAGATTGTAAATTTCTTTGAAATTCTTCTGCATAAAATACTGCTTCACAGTGCAAGGTTTCCAACCAGCCACCCAGTTCGCCGGTTTTAAAAAAATGCTGATGTTCTATTCATAAAAATAGGCGAAAGGTGGGCGTTGAGAAATGGCGAATCTACCTACACTTCGACTTCAGATTCGATATATTATCTATGGTTGGTATCCATTCTGGACACTATTGTACAATTTACTTATGCCAGAAAAATCTCTACTATAACTTTCATTATTTAGTTATTTTACAACTGAAAAATTAACCTAAATAAATGACAGTAAGACTTCTGCCGTCACAATCTCTCTTAATACATACCTGTACGAATCCCGTTAATCTAGACTGTCAGTGGTGAAGTTAGTGTCGTATCATCGCCATGCCATCGAATACGTCTGTCATCCTATTCTTCCTAAGTTCCGGGCAACGCCAGAAGTTGCACTATATGTAGTTCTTGAATGAGCACTGAATATAAATGAAAGGAAAATGTGCTAGGTGTTGTTTATTCTAGGTGTAATATTGTCTGACATGTTGGTACCTCTTTATGGCTTATACTACGTATATTTTTAAATTGAATTTATTTCCGCGTAAGCTTGACAGTTATTCAGTAGTACAGTCATTTCACGAGTAAAAGATCTTGTCTAGGGATCCCGTTCACCTTAAAGATATTAGAAAGATGATCGTGATCATGATGATAGTAACAGGATACTATTTGGTTTTTATATTGATTCAAATTGGTTTTGAAAAAAGATTTTTTATGGTGATGAATATAAAAAATGAAGCTTGAAATTAATTAATTCATTACAGGATACTGTTTGGTTTTGATGTTTCATTTATTGATTTGAATACCTATTGTATAAATCCAATTAATTGTAAAAGCGTATTATGTATATGCGTCCAATAAAAACGTATAAATCAATAATCAGCCGCGTTACTGGCCAAATAATCACGGCGACCAATATTCGATGCTTGTTTGTTTTGTATAGCCTCCAATTTGGGGCATTCTGTAATTCTGTGACCGAGACCACCACAGTAACTGCAACCACGTTCATCTAAAAACACAATGAGTAATATTAATTAATCCTTGTTACTATGCATTACTTAAAGCATTCTTTACAATAATATTCTCATCGATGATACAAGCGATAAATGTAAATTATACCTCCCAAATTCAAATATTTCTCATTCTCGGAACAGAGTTCCAACAAGAACGGTGGTACTTTTTGTTTTGCTTCCATGAGCAAGTGTTTTAAATCCAGCAATACAGACTCGTCAGTAGCTTTGTTGATAAATGTTGTAGCTATTCCCGTGCGCCCTGAACGACCAGTTCTTCCAATACGATGAACTGCATTTGTTTCAATTAATTACAACATTAAGATATTATATGAAGAATTGATTTTTTGTTATGTAAATTAACTCACCGTAATTTTCGACGTCATCTGGCATATCATAATTGATAACGTGCTGCACATCCGCAAAATCAAGACCCTTTGAAGCAACATCCGTAGCTACCAGAACGTCTTTACGTCCTGCACGAAAAGCTTCTACCGAACGAGATCTTTCCTCCTGGTCTAAAGGCAGTAAAATTCTAAGATTTTCCGTAGCATAATGCTTGTGTCGTAATTGATTACTATGGTATAGCAACAGTATTCAGTCTAATATTATAATGGTATACCTTTTCCACCATGAATGGCAACAGCTTCTACTCCCTTCAAAAGTAAATATTCGTGAATGGCGTCCACGTCTTGCTTCTTTTCGGCAAATATCAACACCGGCGGAGTAGTCTTTTGAAGACATTCTAGTAAATATACGATTTTAGCTTCTTGCTTTACGTATTCTACTTCTTGAATCACGTTCATTGATGCAGCACCAGCTCTTCCTACGTTTATCGTTACTGGCTTTACCAAGGCGGATCGAGCGAAGTTTTGAATCTTTTTTGGCATAGTTGCTGAGAAGAGTAATGTTTGTCTTTGACCCTGCAATATATGTCCTTCTTTGTATTTAACATTTCTAGGTAATATAAATGAATGTTACAGGGATGACAATTTTTGTTAGAAATATACCCTGAAGAAAGAGAAAATTGTCCTAACATCTTCTTCGAAACCCATATCTATCATACGATCTGCTTCGTCCATACACAAGTAACGACAAACACCCAATTTTACCATCTTTTTATCTAACATATCCATTAATCGGCCTGGTGTTGCCACCATTATGTGTACACCTCTGAAAAATATGAATACAGTACAATAACAGCAGTTGAAAAAACACGGGTGATATAGGCCAGCATACCTATTTATGACTTCCAGAGATTCAGAAACTGGTACACCACCAATTGCTAAACAGCTACGAATTTCTGGGCAACCTGCTTGTCTTAGACTATTCGTATAGTGTTGTATAATGTCATGAGTTTGTTTTGCTAACTCCCTAGATGGACAAATGATGAGGCCTATTCACAAAAGCAACTAAGTGTTAAGAAAAATATTTAGCTTTTTAATTTTCTTTATACGTAACTAATATAAGTGTTACATACCGTAAGGACCTTCGTTTCTTATAAAAGGCATAGCTGTTTCTTGCTCCAGACAGAACATTATTAATGGCAGAACGAATACCAGTGTTTTACCACTACCTGTGAAAGCTATGCCAATCATATCTCGGCCTGATAATCTGCAAAAAAAATTAGTATAATATTTTTACACTGCATAAGTGTTCTTTTACGTTAGTTTACTAAAAACGGATAATTGCTAATAATGTAATTGTTTTTAGAATAATAATCATTAACTAACACAGTTGGTATTCCCTGAACTTGAATAGGTGTAGGTTTACTGATTCCTTTCTGCTCTAGTCCATTTAAAATTCCTCGATGAAACTTCATTTCCTTAAAACTTTTTAGTGGGGGAGGTACCTCATCACCTTCGACTAAAATTCTAAGCTTTCGTCGAACTCTTTCATGTCTGCTTTCACAGAAGCTTAAGATTGCCCTTGGTGGTCGCCAACTAGTTTTTATAGGATCATCATATTGAATACCTTTAGCCAATTCAGCAACACCCATTAAAGCTTTATTTTCAGCTACACTTTCCAAAATCTTCTCTTCCTCTTTCAATTGTCGTTCCATAGCACTTTCTTTCTTAGCTAGAATCAGAATCAAATTGAGATTATTATAACATTATAGTCTAGGTAAAGTGAGCGACAAACCTTCAGCTAGTTTTTTCAATTCTGTGTGCTGATCGAGGAGAGAAATGTTGGACTTGCGTCCCCACACTTGGCCGTCGTCATCATCTCCATCATCTTTCTCATTTTCACTACTACTTCTGCCTCCAAAACCACTTGTGGCTTCTTCTTTTAGCTGTCCTAGTCTCCCAAGCTTAATAAGCTGCTGCTTTTTACGTTCCTTGACTGGTATATATGGTTCATAATTATCATCCGAATCAGAATCATTAGCTTCCTTAATATCACGTTTATATTTCTGTGCAAAAAACAAGAATATATTAAATAACAGAATAGGCAAAGATAGTATAAAAATAAAATTTACATTTCTTCATTTTAAACTGCCTGAAATAGAATAATAGGAAATTGTTATATATACCTTGGCAGGAGAATCCTTATCATCCCCACCCATGATGATTACACTTACAAGACCCTAAAATTTATAAAATTACAAAATCACTAATATTACGAGTACTTTCATAGGTCTAAAAATGTGTATTTACAAACTGTCATTACCTACGCTTACGATTGAGATGAGTAGGGACAGAGAGGAGTGGGGAGATGCACAACGCTACGGTTTCAGGCGATATCAAAAGGATGGCGGTTAATCGTAGGATTTCGTGACCATCGCCTCCGTCGATAATATATATCTCGCCGTAACTGAGCTGAACGTGATTATCAACGTGTAGCCTGGCCGGCAAAGGGTATCGCCGAAAACCGCAACTTTGTGCATCTCCCTACTCATCACTACTTTCTACTTTCCTACTTTCTACACTTGCCGTCTATCCGCTAGGGTAGTTCGTAAATGTGTTCCAACTGTTTATCGGCTTCGTCATTAAGCTCTTAATAATTAATAAAAAAAGAAAGATGGAAAAGAGTATACTCCATACATGTTTAGACTGTGCTAAGAATTAGGAACAACGTTATTACAAGAAATTTTATTGAATCACTATATCTCAAATATTTTCTGCTAAAATAGCTCCATAAATAACAAAATGTAACACCTTTTAAAATTTGTATTGTTATTTAAATAAAAATATAATACCTTATATATTAAAATGATTTGTATGTACATACATTTGGTTTATATGCGTTTCACAAAATGTTTTCTTATTTACATTGTACACAGATAATTTGTGCACATAGATTAGTATCTGTTACAAGAAACAAACTACAATGATTGTTTTAATAAGTCAGTGTACTGATTACTTATTAATAATAGAAGGTAATTGTTACAGAATATTGAAATAAAAAATTCTTATGAATCTTATACATCAAGTTTAAGCCAATCCTTGGGATTCCTTAAAACTTCCATAAGCTTCTGCTCTTTAGAATTAGCTGCTGGCTCATGCATATATTCCCACTTTGCAGTCAGTGGTAAAGACATTAATATACTTTCATAACGAGCCCCTGGTGTATAAAGACCAAATTTCGTACCACGATCATATATCAAATTAAATTCGACATATCTTCCTCTTCGAAGCAATTGCCACTGACGTTCTGCGTATCCGTAGCCGTCATTTTTGTGCTTGTCTACAATTGGTATATATGATGGAATAACTGATTCAGCACAAGATTTCACAAAATTGTAAACTTCACTCTGATTAGGAGTATCTAAGTCATCAAAGAAGATGCCACCAACTCCTCGACGTTCTCCTCTGTGCACAATATTAAAATAATCATCACACCATTTCTTGAATCTTTCATAATATGTAGGATCATGTTTATCACAAGCTGCTTTTAGGGTTCGATGAAAGTGCTTTGCATCTTCTTCATCTAAATAATAAGGTGTGAGGTCTGTTCCACCACCAAACCACCACTGCACAGAACCATCCTTATTCTCAACTTCAAAGTAGCGATAATTGAAGTGTATAGTCGGAATCATAGGACTCCTAGGATGGATGACTGCACTGACGCCTGCTGCAAAGAATGGTAGCGATCCATCATCCATTTTCTTCCCACGGGATTTCATCTGTTGGATTGCTCCTGGTGGCAATGTTCCTGAGACTACAGAGATATTAACGCCTGCTTTTTCAAATACTTTTCCTTCCTGAAGCACGCAAGTTATACCACCACCACCCTCCTTTCTAGCCCAACGATCTACTTTAAAATGTGTATCATCATCTTCAAACAGTTCAAGTGCTTTGCAAAAGTCCGACTGTATCTTCATTATAAGTAATTCCATTTTAGTTTTCATATTTCCTCGATTCTTTTCTAGCTTCTCAATACTTGTAATTGGTTCAGCCATAAATTCTTTATTGTTTATTGGTGCTTCTGCCGCTTGAACTCCAAAATTTGAAGTACCATAGATAACTATACCAGTTCCAAGTAAACCTGCACCCACATAGCTTAGATTGTAACTCTCCTTTTGCATTATATGATGATAGGAAATAAAGGAGAAGACGTGCTTCCAGCTCCTCCCAAATATTCGAGAAGCCATATCCACAGTAGATCTATAAAAAATATTTAATTACAGAAAATTATATAGTAAAAATATAACAGCAAATACAAATACGGTGAAATTACGTGTTGAGAACAGGTAAAGAAGGTTAAATTATATATTAACACTTTTTCGGTCTCGAACTAATAATCTCAATATCAACTTTTAAGATTTCTCTTATCAATTATGATGATAATGTAAATTTTAATACCTCACTTTGAAATGATGATGTTATAAAATGATTTCATAACCCATGCTTGATGACACTGTATGGCACACTACATTCTTATTGCCGATACTTATCTCTTATTATGGACAAGCACTAAGGTATCACGGCGCACAAATATATTTACCAAAATATGGTAATATGATCGACTAGTAAAATGAATTACCCTTGGTTCTACTTTGAGGCGCAACATATCGTTTACTGTCAATTCTTCGAAAAGGTAAATTGTTCGAAAAAAATATTCTAGGATTACCGAGTACCATAAAGCTACACACATTTTATAATACCTTAAACCTTAGTGCTGATATGGCTCATTCCGGCACAGGCATATCGCTATGGAAAATGATTGCTTTCCTTTCAATGAAATGATTATTTAGAAGACCGTAAGTCTTAAAATATAGCTTTGTAGCGAAATCAAATAGCCCGATTATAGAAAAATACAATCTAAAATTAAAAAAAAAAAGTGAACATACAAATTATATTTATACCTTAATGTCTGTGCAGTTTTATATTTTAAACTGCATATTATAGAACACAATGTTTCAAAAATGTTTCTTTTATTTATATTACATCGTTTATTTCAAGTGGCCTTTAAGCATGGATACTTATTCACACATAGAAAATACTTCGGATTTATACCAAATGATATACAATAAATATATAAAATGGAATGAATTACAAAGTGATAAATCAATACATATAAGAATACTGAATTATAAAATATAAGTGAATACATCATAGCCATAATTTTATATTATTCATACTAAATCCACTTGATTTGTTCCTCTTTACTAGCTTTAACATATTCAAGTTGAACTTGAGCAGTAAGATTTATGTATGGCTTGTGGCAAACATGAGAATCTAACGAAGGATAATAATGCCTATAGCATAAGTACGATAAGCAAAGCCCAATTAGAGAACCAATGGTAACATCTGAAAAATAGAAAGTTGGTTTTACTACATTAGACATTCTTAAAAATATTTACCTTGCCAATGATGATGGTAATCACAAGTTCGACTTAATGCTATAGCAATAGCAATGCATAGTGGAAATAAGAAAATAAGTAATTTCCATGCTTGTCCTTTTCCCGATAGCGCGAATGTATGAAGTTTTCCCGCCAAGTATAGAGAAACAAAGCTAAGACTTGCAAATGCAACTGAAAGAAATATACTTTTAATAATATATGTTACAGTCTTATCATTTCATAAGTTATTATAATTACAAGAGGAATGTCCACTTGGAAATGATTTTCTCCCTTCTTTTATATTACTTGGATCTCCAGTGCATTCTAATTCAGAATTCATTTCACCATTGGGAAAACATCTCCAGAAATAATCTGGCCTTGGTCTACCTACAAACAAAGGTAAACTTATAATGACAAAAATGACAAAAATTACAAAAAAAAAGAAAGTATTATTATGAATATTATCAGTATCTTACCCACTATTATCTTGATCATATCAGTAAGTACACCATTCAGTCCTAACGTTAATGTCACAGCCATCAATGCCTGACAAAAGTCGACTCTATCTTTAGTAATTATGAATGTAATACAGATCACAAAAGTTGGTACAAGAAATACTAATGGCTGTAAAGTATGCAATCATTAATAAATTACACAATTTTTATATTACACAAAAAATTAGATAAATTTATGATTAAATTGTACACAAACCCATAAGACGGTGGTGGGCACATATGAGGTGGTGATAGGATTTTTGTAGAGCCATAACTCTTCCACATGAATCTTTCTTGCAAATGGTTCAGCTTTCTCCAGCTCCCTACAATATCATTAAGTTAATCCCTTCTTTTTTAAACCAAGGTATCTTTAAAATTATATTCAAATTCAATTGCTAAATGCATTTCAACAGAAGACTGACAAATAATTTATATCATGTTACAAACACAGTACAAACATTCGCGGGGTCGAATTGTCATAGCAGACGATGCTTTCTATTAAACAACTTTTGTTTTAAAGTAAATGACTTACAAAAATGACAAGGCCAGAATAATTCGTATTATAACATCGAACCAAAATGCACCCGTTATTTCCACCCCGCGCACCGAAGTCATTTTTGATTATTAAAAACTATAATTCTCTACGATATGAACATTGCGTTTGACAGCCATCTTGAGAGACTGTGCTCTCACGGCATCAGCCACGGCATCGACTGGATACCAAAACGATGCTACGTAATGAAGAAACGAAGCTGCATTAGAAGAATCCGCTAAAACCGAGGGTTAAGCATGATACAACATAGAAATAGACGAGGTATAGCCACTTTGTACGGTGACGTCACTGGACAGTCTCTACTCTGATTGGCTGACCACTCGCTGCAGCGATGCTCTATGATTCCCGCACACTCTTGTGCTTATTTTTTGGTGCACAAACTGCGAACAGAGATGAGTAAGGAGATTCCCAATGGGCTTGTTTTTCGTGGTCCCACTTTTATTCTGGTTTCGGCGCGCCACCTTAGCGGAGGGCCCTCGAAGAAGTTCCCTGTCTTTGAGTCAAACGCACCTGTCATACGTGTGTTCGTAAATAAACCATATTGTAACGTTTGCAATCGGGTCGAGAGAAATCAAATTTTACTTGCTATTTAAAGAGGCTACAATAAAATAAAGAAAACAAATTGCGGTTAAAAATGGAGCAAATTGATAACAATTAATTCATTAAAAAAATCAAATAAAAATCTGCTTCGTTATTTGTAACAGCAATAACAAAAATATTTTTCTGATTTAATGAATATTCTTTCTCCATTGTATAACAGCAGCGGAGCAATTAGGAAAATATAACGAGACTTTAGGGAACAATTTTTTAGGCATTAGAAACATACATTTTTATCCTTTTACGACGCTAACTTCCTGACGGTACAAACTTTTTAACTATGTAACATTGATTTAGTTGATAAGGCAGAAAGGATTTACAGGAATGGTGGCTTTTTTTCAGGATAAGTATACGAAAATGTGGATATACGTACTTCCAGTATAAATTTCAAACACGTGTTTTCATTCGTAGTTTACGATACATTGAGAAAAAAAAGAACAGGCATCTTTTGTTGCTGTCACTTGACATTTTTTTTCTTCGTATTTTCTTTTTTTTTCAGCGCTCTTGTGGGGGTTTGTGAGTCAACTTTTTCTTTAAAAGTCCATGATATGACCTAAATATCGTTATTACGTATATTACCTATGCGTGTGTGTGTATATATATATATACGTATCCACGTTTCTTTCGCACTCGTGTATCATACGTACATACATATTTGTTACTTTATATTTATATGTATATACATATGTGTATATTTATAACTTTGTCCACAGCAGTCGTACAACACAGATATTACAAAAATTATTTGGCTTCGTCGGGACGTAAGGAACACAAAGAAAAATTCAGCGCTATATTTAATCGTCCGATACTTTCTAGATGTTTGTATATGATCATCTATGGTAAGCATCGATGTTAATTTCTATAGCGAGTCTCATTCAATCGATATCCAATTACTCAGTGATTCTTTGACTTTTGATATATCATGATAATGGGCTGACACGATAAACTATTAAAGAGAATAATTTTGAAAATGAATCCGGAGAGTATATATATGGAAGTTGCACTGACTTTTTCAAGAGGCTCTTGGATTAGGATTGCATAGATGTGAAACGATCAAAATGCATTTACTATTATTATTATAATCGAGACTCGAGACCGGATTAATTATTTGGATGTCGAAGACGACAAAATAGAACAAAAATGAAAATTCCAAGCCCCGCTTGTTAGATAACAAACAAGAATTTTTTCTCTACTGAATTTTCATTTTAAGCCTGCGATTCGTAAAATTTGAATTTTCGCGCGAAAGTCAGAAAATGTATCCGAGTTGTTGAGTCTCGATTTTTAATTTCGGATGGATACGAAAGAAATTGAAGGTTTGATAAAGGGAATACTGGTTGAGAAAAAGAGAGAGAAATAAGGAAACGAGGGAAGGTTCAAAGATTGCACAATAATTAGTTAGTTAAATAATTATAAATACACGCATTTGTTTTCGTTCTGTCAAGACAACAACGACTACGAGTCTATAATACGCGTCTCAACGTAGTCTATGACTTGTCTCTTCCACTTTATATACAAAAAGAAATCGTGGATCGTCAGCAGAGACGAATTTTTCAAAAAAAAAAAAGCATCGAAGAAACATTCATATTTGTGTTCCTCGTAGTCGATTGACCTTAATGTGCGATTTTTTTTTCAATTTCTTATATCCTTACATACTGCTTTAACGCGTGTAATACGTATGCACGACGGTATTTATTATATTTAGCGCTTATGATGAACGACATTGCACTTATGTCCTAAGGAAAATCAATCACTTCTTTCCAGACAGACCGACAGACAGACAGACAGACAGACAGGCAAGCTGACAGACAGACACTGACGTGGAATGTTAGTAATTAGCGTGGTAGCTATTTCGCAGAGGTAAGTCAATGAAAAATATGTGTATGAAGTATCAATTGAAATCCAAAAATTGTTTTCGCATTCTTACCAGTTTCTTTTTATCATTCTCTCTCTCTCTTTCTCATGCGTTCTATAATCATTCGAAAGTGAGGCATTTAATTCATAATGAAAATTGTCACATTACGAAAATATCCATTGTGGGATTCCAAACTGTTTTATTAGTCCGATTAATTTTTGATTATCCATTACTTATGGATCGCTTATTTGTCCTGTCAGTGAGATACTTCTTATTTCGGAACTACACTAGAACGTTCGTAATAACGAGGGGTGAAAGGGGGGGGGGTAGAATGGCATTGGAATATAAATTTCCAAGTTTTGTACTGTAATTACAATGTGCGTATGCGATTTGTGCGAAACAAAGTATAATCCCACGTGGGAATTCACAAGAATTGTGCGTTCGAATATAAAAGGATGAAATATAAATATTTCAAAAGTTCACATTGGGTTAATGAAATTCAGCGCCATTTTCTCATTCACACGTAAACGCGCACTCTTACTTGCATCATGCAATCTCGCTAGTTTCTCTTTTTCTTTTTCATACTCTCGTCAAATTTCGACAATTTTACGCCTCCTCCTTATCCTCCTTTAAAAAAAAAAAGATTTATCTACTACTCAAAGGTTAGGGTATTCGAACCGTATCAATTCCCTGCACGAGAATCGAAAAGAAGGATAGATTATTTCACAATGTCAACATGAGGCTTGAGCAAGAAACATATAGATCTATTTTCGTATAGCGTCATCGTGTTTCGTCGAGCGAGCACAGTTAAGCAATTCTGGATGAAAATAAAGAATTAAAATAATATTTCCAGCCAGCATAAAATTATAAGACTTTGCCTATCTACGTTCACGCGATATAAACAGGAAAATAATTATATATACAAGATAAAAGAAAGAAGAGAAAAAATATAGAGAAATGTTTTCGATCTTTGAGCTAAATCGACGCGGTTGGTATGGCGTGACGTATAACAGATAAGTTAAATCGTTTAATTTTAAAGAGTCTCCTCTGTTAGAATGAGAAACTGACAAAGAAACTACAAGAAGATACTTTCTAGAAACAATGAAAAATCATAGGAAGCTCTCTTCCAGTCTAATGCAGATATAATTAATGATTAGAGATGCGAGTTGATTTAACCGTGAAACAGTATACGGTGATAACAGGATTGTGAAAGCGTAAGAAAAATTACACGTTGTACGAGTTTCGCAGTGATGCTTCTGATAACGTGGGAACTTAACAATGGACTACTTAACAACGGAGTAATTTGTTTCACGCGAAACGATCATGATGATTCACGGTAATTCACAGCGATGATTGCAATAATTAAGACGATAGAGGTTTAAAAATTGCACTACTCTGTGAGGTAAACGGGTGAAACGCTGGACGAGACAGATTTTCGTTACAGCCGTTTTTCATCCCTCCAAGCGCCTAAATCGCCTCGCGCGTTGTCCTCGTTACGACTAAGTATAATTAACCTAAGTTACTATCGTTATCGCTTAAGCATTATACATCGTCACGCTTACTATTACACAGACCGGTACGGCAGATGGGATTGTCGACGTTAAATAAGGTAACGTATCGAGAAGATTACACGATACGATGTGTCAATAACATTTCTTTTCCCTAAAGTAACGAAATTTACGAGATTAAATAGGACAGTATATTCTCGTTACGTTAACTTAAAACAGACATTACGTTACGTGAATCAATACACTCCGATACGGTTACGATATACGATAAAATATTTTTCTTTCACGCCACTGACAAACGACACAGGAATGTTATCACATGTGATTAGCACATTTGAATTATCAATGATATTTTTTTTCCTGAATTCCTTAAAATCATCAACTATTGTAACCCTATTGAAGTGCATTGTTAATTTCTTACAATAGGAAAGTTCAGTCAATTAAACAATCCCATCGCTCTAGAATAATTCGATTCGTTAATATTTTACAATACAATTTACTAAGCGGCTAAACTGACGTTATACTTCATTCGTAACGTCATCGGGGGGTGCGGGTGCTTGTGCGTGGTAAGGTGATGGTGCGCTTAACGATCACGATTTTGTTCCAAGACAAAAGAATAACTCTTCCTTTCTTTTTAGTTAGATAATCATAATTGCCCTTCGCTCCCATCTTCTGTACTAAACTGATTCCATGAAATGTCCGTGATATATTTCTTTTCTCTCATTGGCTTCATTTCGCTTTTCCCTTTTTGTTCTTGTAATTCTGCATGTGTATTCAAGGATCTCGTACCGCAAACGGGATTCCTCTGGTACTTTATCCGTTTGCGTAACAGTCGAAATTACAATGTGGCCTTATCTCCTTCCATACCACAAAACATTGGTTATGCTAAACGGTGACTTTTTTATGTATACCTAAATGCGGTTTTAGTCGTACTATCTTCGGCAGTGACGCAATATTCACATTTCGGACTGAACAAAAGGACGAAGTAAAGAAAGTACATTGAACTTGTCGTATACTGAATAACAGAACTTCTTCCGTTTGTTAGATTCATGCTGTCAAAATTTAATCTGAGATTGAAAACTGTTTTTTAGTCCTATAAAGAAACATGAATATGAGTCTTTCATTTTTGTTGTTGTAACAAACAACAAAGAAGCGAACAGGTATAACAATACGTATGTGTACAGTCTTAAAGTCAACGAAATTAAAATTAATGCGTTACATAAAAAAAAAACGTACACCTCGTGTTACGTAACGCTATGCTTAAACGATAACGAACCACTGCCGAGGTACCTTGTGTTAACGTAATGTAAAAGTAAACGAGTAATGCTCGCGAGATCACTCCGATACGTGGCGTTTACCATAGTCTTATGAAATCTCTCGAAGTAAACAGAAAACCGAGAGATAAAGTGTCGATGTCACGATTATTCACCGTTAAAAAACAAGAGCCTACCGGTGTACATCGTGATTCGTAACTTCCTTGATTTCGGGAAGTCAGAAACGCGTCACGACGTCGTGCGAAATCGCAAGTAATTCGTACAGTAGTGCATGGTCAGTCGATTTCTTTGAATTCATTGTTTTCTTACTTTTCGTTTCTCCTAACTTTCGTTAAATACGGGTAAAAATCTACGCAAGATTACCGATTCTTTTTAACGGCCATGAATAAATAGTTTACGTAACGAAAAACCGAATTCGTGTAGCTAATCGGTTTATGCATTCGTTATTTACTTGTAAATCGCGGATAGAGACAGGAAGACAGGCTAGTCAAGTAACGTTTGCGGCATATTGAAATAAATAAAAGAAATCTATTAATTTCATTAATTTACTTTCAAGTATAGCTTCGATGATTACGCTCGAATGTGATTTTAGGAAGAGACAAAAGCACTGTCTTCCTTATGCAAATGTCCAAATCCCGTGCATTTAATTCTAATTATGCATACGGGTATGCGAATTATCTAGGTACGTAACTTTTTTACACCCTAACCCTCCCACCCACCCAAACCCAGCCCCTTACTGCGAGCTAATGTGAATCCTAAAAGATGACTCCCTATAATGAGAAATCACTATTTGTGACTAAAGTTACCCTCCCACGCTTTGCTAGGATTAGTATTATCTCCTAGCGTGACTATTTTCAGTTCAGACCTTTGATTTATTTGAACGAGTATATTAATTTACGGTAGTCGCAAGCGTCACGAGCTAAACGATCGCGCCCTCCTGTTCACATATTTTTTTGTGTCGTTTTCCATTGCCTCGCGTCTTCTACATATTACCATGAAAAGAAAGATAAGTAAATTCTAGTCACTTTCACTTGAGCACCACTCACGCACTTTTTGCTTCGTCATCACTATTTAGTAAAACTCGTAATTATTCACAGATTCCTGTTATACGTAATACAAACGTGTATCTCCGTCAAATGGTTCAAGTATGGAAACCGTGCTGTCGCCCCACCAGAATAAAAATACCTGAGCATCGGATGTCTCAGGTAGCGATTCATCGGTGAATAATTTCTTACTGGATTTACTATAAAAGTACTCCGAGTGTGTTCTTGGAGTATGCATGAAATTCTAAGGCGAACGTAATCAAGTAAATTGTCAAGCAGCCAGATACGGGTGATACAAATAACAATGACGAACAAAGAGCACTTAGTCGAATAAGGTAATTCTTAAAATTTCATTGAATAGGACGTCGAGCGAGTGTCATGTGTGTATATCGGACTTTGTCTAACGCGAATTCTTATCGATATATTCCGTGGTTGGAAAAGTGGAAGAAAAGTTCGCCTACTCGTTGAACCAATGAACGCTTTAACGACACCGAGGACTTTAAACAGTTCCTAGTGTAAAGCAAGACATCGTTATTGAAGGTGACTCGTCCTGTCGTGTCTCTTTTTATCTCTTTCTCTATCTATCTCTTATATTCTCTGTCTCTCTATATGAGGATTGTCACCTACACGGTGTTGACCTTCGTACCGTGCATAAGAGTAGTCTGCTGTTTCGTCGGAGCGGGACGCGCGCCGAGTTGAGGATTGTTTCACGAGAACTGCAGGCAACATCGCGACGACGAACGTCGTCGCTGGCGTCGCGAAGCCGTCGGCGTTTCCAGGTTTACGGAGTTCATCCTGGATCAGCTGGCTGGCATTTCCGAGCTTTGGCTCTGCGACAGCTCGAGGAGATGACACTCCGACACGGGTATCTCTCGGGTGCGTGCGCTTTGCTTCTTCTGAAATCAAACAAAAGACACCGTCCGGCATTACTTAAGGGAAAAAAGGTAGTATTGCGGTGGTTACGAAATATGAATTATTGTGTCAATCGTAGATTACATACCTTTCTTCGAAATGGGAAGCAACCCCTGTTCTCGTTGTTCGGTGGAGGATGATTTATTAATAAATCAGGCGTAGGTGTGTTATTCGGTCCAAGTACATTCAATTCCTTAAAACACTCAGTCTCTATCATCTAGGAGACAGAATTTTTATGTATGACAATGAATTATTCTGGTTATAACAAATGTACATTTTCTTCAGTGGGCAAGACAACGTCAAAGGAAATTACGATATCATTGCTACTTGTGACTTCGCCTTTTTTATGTATGGATGTCTGACCAGTTAGAGCGATAAGCTCCTGGTCGACTTCCTTTGACGTCATGAAAGTGTATTTCGGTGGTTTTGAGATTACAAAATCATTTTCCTTCGACGTTTAACCCACTCGAGTTTGGTAGAGTATATTTTCTGCAGATACATGATAAAAAAACTCTCGTCTGGTATAGCTGACGTGATCTATTTTTTAAATAGCCTTTTCTTCTGTATCGTGCACAAGATATCTTCTTTCATGTACTATTTTAGTGGCGGTGCAGATCGAGTGATATTAAAAAAAAAGAAGATCATACCTCATTCTGCCATGGAATGGACACGCTTCCGGTATTAAATTTGCTATAAAAACTGTCATCTGTAGCGTCTAGATTGACACCCTTGACAGTGGAGAATTGTTCGATGTCAAGAACGTCTTTTGCATAAACAGCGTGCGGCTATAACAAAAAAAAAAAATAACAATACTACGTAAGATACCGAAGATAGCTTCCTAAAGAATATTGAATTTCAGAATATAGGTTAATGTCCGGAATACGTTGGGAGGCTGGAAAAATGGCAAGAGCTATATTTCAAGGGAACAACTCTAAGAAAGAGGTTCCGCACCCATAATTTCTTTGTTATCAGAATCTCCTCGACAAAAGAAAAGTTTACTAAAGTGATACAAGATCGATCGAGCGCAATAATTAATAGCGTAACGTCACCTACTTACATCCGGTACAAATGGCGGTTCCCAAATTCCAGCCTCCACCCTCTTCCAGTTCAAGCACTGAAAGAAACTGTGAAGTTTGACATCCTTTGCGCCATGTCTGCCGCACTTGCATCCTAATCTGGTCTTAGGATTCTTTTTGAGAAGCTGTTGACAAAGACTCTTAGCCTCTTCGCTGAACTTGTGCGAATACTTTTCCTGATCCTCTTTGACGCGTCTGTCGACTTCTTCCCGCTTGACCTTCTCCTTGCGCGCTCTAAACGGGGCCTGACCTTCGATCATCTCGTAAAGAAGACACCCGAAGCTAAACCAATCTGGACTGAAGGTATACTTTTCATTGTCTATGACTTCCGGGGCCATGTATCCCACAGTGCCTACCCGTCCTCTGACCATATCGCCTTCCAAGATCTCAACAGCAAGTCCTAGATCGGATATCCTTACATGGCCATGATCATCCAATAGGATGTTCTCCGGCTTACAATCTCTGTAGACGATACCTTGATGATGTAAGTGTTCCAAACCGCAGACGACTTCAGCGGCGTAAAACATCGCCCGATTTAGGTCAAAACCAGGCTCGCCGCCCATGTTATAAATATGAAACTTTAGGTCACCGCCATTCATGATAGTTAAAACTAGACAAAGAGCATCCTTTGTCTCGTAAGCGTACGCCAGCGACACTACGAATTTCGAGTTAATCTTCTGAAGAATGTTCTTCTCTATCAACACCATTGCTTCGCCCTTGCGTTTCTTGATCCTCTTCTTTTCCAGCTTCTTGCAGGCATACATCTTCCCAGTGGCACGAACCTGACAAGCGCAGACTTCACCGAAACCTCCTTTACCCAGCACCCGGTACATCCTGAAGGTCTTGTAGGTTACAGGCTGTGCTTCTAACCACTTCCATTGAAGATACCTATAACGAACAGTCTAGATAAGTCTTCCCTTGTCATAGTTGCCAGTAGGGGGCGATAAACAAGATGACAATACACACTGTGTACTTCCTAATGATACTTCGTTAATATACATAACGGACTATAAATATGCATAAAAATTGTATGAAACGAATGGTCACGCCTGTGAGTTAGTCGCGAACAAAAGAAAGTATATTACTATCATGACAAGAAGTGACGTCACGATACCTGTAGAAATAGAAGCTTGTTAGAAAAGCTGTAAAGGGTTCTCCAGCCAGGAAACTCTTGACAGTCTGAGCGACGTCGACAAAGAGTTCCTTGCCACCGGAACCAAGTCGCTCCTCGCACTGAGTGATCAAAGAGTCGTTCAAGATATCCACGACCTCGGATCCCTCGTTCCTCAGGTACTGCTCGAAGAGGTCCTTTGCGAGTTCCGTTCGATTTTCGTCCATTTCAATCTCGTACTTCACAATGGCGTCGAGGAAGAGGTTGTAACGATGAGACGCAGGTTGTTTATCCTGGCAGAACTGCCTGAATAGCAGCCTACCGATAGGCTGCTGATCCACGACATAGCTGTATCGTATATCTAGAATTATAAAAAAAGAATTTCTTTCACACAAAAATATCGAAAACGAAGGGTAAACCATTATTTCATACCTATCTGCATAAATAGTAGAAACCCCTAATTATTTCTAAAGCCAAAGTAGACGTTCCTCAATACAGTAAATAATTACTGAAGTCCTACGGGTTTACGATACCGTTGTCATTAAACGTTTGTCTCATTATACCCAAGGTACGCAATCACCGATACTAATTAGATTATTCCCCGACTTAAACGACCTTCGCATAATAAAAAAAAGTTTCTTCCTCTAAACGAGGCAAAAATTTTCAATGAATATATTAAATTTACACCGGTACAGAGTTACTCGGAAAAAAAAAATATTTTCTAACTATTTTACCAAGCAGTAATTGGACTTTACTTGTTAAAGTTACCAATTGGAAATACGCCAGTTGTCACCAACGAATTTAAAAATCCCGCTGCTACGCACGCCAACCAATCAATTTTGCTACCAGTATAAAAATGGTTATTAATTTTTCCGATCTGACGTATCATCCCAAGTACACCCAACAATTTTCTACAGTCCCTATGCGAACAAGCAAATACCTTCGCTTTCATAGTTATGTGGGTCCACGTGCTTTTTGACAGTTCTAAAACAACACCCCAGTAAACAACGTATAAATCTATGACGATTTACATTGAAATATATTTCACTGTTCTATCTTGCCATAAATTTTCCATCGTCTTATGAAAGCAGCATTAGACTTGTTGACGATTGTATTGTTTGCGAACTGTCAAAAATATATATAAATTGAACATATGGACATAGCTGACTGGCTCGGTAAGTATAAAGCTGACTAGTCATAGCTATTCACTCGGTCTTATCTATGTGGGTTAGTAGGAGCAATATGGAAGCCAATGGTTTTCATACGTTCCAAGTATTTTCCATAGCTGATACAACACGGCTACGAGTACACAATCTCGATCTCGGGGGAATTTCACATAGATTCAATAATGTGTAACGACGACATCAGCGGAGGGTCACACGTCGATTGACTACAGTATCGAGGGGAAAGAGCAAGCGACTACTTTATTCGCCGAGACTATCGCTCACAATATTATTATAGTACGGTGCGACGTGTGGTGGACGTTCCACATTTACTTAAATGTACTTAGCACAGTTTTAAATCGATATCTTATCGATACTACGTAAATATCGATACCCGATCAATAATAAAGAAAAAGTCACCAACAGAAGATCCTGTTACGTTCCCTTCTAAGTGCATATATAGATGTGTATGCATTATGAGGATAGTCGCGTATCACGATTCTGCCGTCAGTAAGAGGAAACTATTTCATACGTAGAAAAAGGGTCATGACCCCGGTAGCTAGAAAAGGACATAGATACACACATGAGTCTCGATCCTTAACGATCGGACAGTCTGTATAATTTATGGGTAATTTCAACCCTCGATATATTAAGGAACGATGGTTCCTTCATTTTCAAATATTTTCCCTTATTTCCTTTTTTTTTTGGCACAGCACCGTGTATCCAGTGACTGACGATAAATGAATTTCGAATAAATACAAAATCATGGATGATCGATGATACGAGCTCGCATCTGACGTATATATGTACATAGTAAATAAGACTCGCGTATACAAGACTCGTTAAAAAAAAAAAAAAAAAAAAAAAAAA